ATCCATCATCCCGAAGTCGCTCTCCGCCGCTGATGAGTCGGGCGCGTCGAGGTGGAGCTCATGGACATCGACAAGTCTCCTCCGGCCCGGTCCGCCAGCGCCGTGGTGGTATTTCGCCGCCACCGCCGCCTCGTTCGGCCTCGCTGCTGCTGCCACCGCTTTACCTGCCCGCCCGGCGGCTGGTGCCGAAACAGGGTCGTCGCGAGGGCAACCAGCGGCGTCTCTCCACGGTGGAGCAGGCGGAACGTTGCCGCCTTGGCCTATGTTTTAACTGTGACGAAAAATATTCTCGTGGCCATAACAGGTTTTGCAAGCGGATCTTCTTCGTTGACGGTGTGGAGATTGATGACTCCGACGACACGGCTGCCGCAGGGGACAAGGAAGCTCTCGCTTCGCCGCAGCCGTGGCGAAGGCGTGTCGCGTGGCGAACACCATGCAACTTGATGTGCAATTTGAGGGCCGCCGCTCGTCGTGCTCCTTGACTCGGGCAAAGACACCACAATTTCATCTCCGAGGAGGAGGCGTGGCAGCGCCCGCTCGCCTCTTCGCCACACCGTCCCGTCTCACGGCCATGGTGGCAAATGGTGAGAAGATTGACTGCGTCGGCGTCATCCGCGACGCGCCCCTGCTCATCGCCGGCGCCAGCTTCCCGGTGGAACTCTTCGTCATGCCCCTGGCGGGTATCGACATCGCCCCTGGGCACCAAGTGGCTCGGTCTTGGCTGGGACCCATCGTCTGGGACACGCCAACCGGCGCGATATCCTTCGGTAGCAGGGTGACTGCTTGTCTCTGGTGGCGTGGCCCGCTGCGGGGGGGCGGCAAGTGCGGACCTGGCGGGCCGGCGAGCCTCTCCTGGAGGCCCTCCTCGACTCGTTCGCGGACGTGTTCGCCACTCCAGCCGGTCTTCCACCCAAGCGTGCCCACGACCACCGTGATCTTGCTTTGAAGCTCATGGCGCGGCGCGGCCGGTCAGACGTCGTCCCTTATCGGTACCCGGCTGCCCATAAGGACGAGCTGGAGCGGCAGTGCGCGCCATGATGGAACAGGGGATCGTCCGCCGCAGCGACTCGCCGTTCTCGTCGCCCGTCCTCCTTGTGAAGAAGCCAGACGGTTCCTGGCGATTCTGCGTCGACTACCGGGCCCTGAACGCCATGACCGTCAAGGACGCTTTCCCGATCCGGTGGTCGACGAGTCTTTGGATGAGCTCAACGGCGCCAAGTTCTTCACCAAGCTCGACCAGAGGTCGGGGTACCACCAGGTCCGCATGCGGCCCGAGGACATCCACAAGACGGCCTTTCGCACACATGAAGGCTTGTACGAGTTTCTGGTCATGGCGTTTGGCTTGTGCAACGCGCCGGCCACCTTCCAAGCCCTGATGAATGACGTCCTACGGCCGTTTCTCCGCCGTTTCGTCCTGGTATTTTTTGATGATATCTTGGTTTACAGCAGCACATGGGCAGATCACCTGCGGCACCTGCGTGCGGTCCTCGACGAGCTTCGTCGCCACCAGCTCTTCGTCAAGCGCACAAAATGCTCCTTCGGTGCCACCGCCGTCGCGTACCTCGACCACGTCATCTCCGCGGCGGGCGTCGCCATGGATCCGGCCAAGGTTCAGGCCATCCATGACTGGCCGACACCGCGCTCCGCCCGTGCTGTTCGCGGGTTCCTCGGACTCGCGGGATACTACCGCAAGTTCGTGCATAACTACGGCACGGTGGCCGCGGCCCTCACGGCGCTCCTCAAGAAGGATGGATTCGCTTGGGACGACGCCGCGGCCACAGCGTTCTCGGCCCTCAAGGCGGCGGTCACGTCCGCCCCCGTTCTAGCCATGCCTGACTTCGCCAAGATGTTCATTGTCGAGTGCGACGCGTCGACGGCGGGCTTCGGCGCCGTTCTGGTCCAGGAGGGACACCCGCTGGCCTACTTCAGCCGGCCAGTGGCGCCTCGCCACCGCGCCCTAGCCGCGTATGAACGCGAGCTTATTGGCCTGGTTCAGGCCGTCCGGCACTGGAGGCCCTACCTCTGGGGGCGCCGCTTCCTCGTCAAGACGGATCACTACAGCTTGAAGTACCTCCTCGACCAGCGCCTCGCCACGATCCCGCAGCACCACTGGGTCGGCAAGCTCTTGGGCTTTGACTTCTCAGTGGAGTACCGCTCTGGCGCCACGAACACGGTCGCCGACGCACTCTCCCGCCGCAACGTCGAGGACAGCGAGCTGCTGGCCATCTCGGCGCCCCGGTTCGACTTCATCCAGCGCCTTCGACACGCCCAGGCCACGGACCCCGCGCTGGTCGCCATCCACGACGAAGCTCGGCGGGCACCCCAGCGGCAGTGCCAGGCCATCATCGGCGGCATGGTCGCTCTCGCGGGCTGCCTCTACATCCCCGCGGCATCGCTGCTTCTCCAGGAGATCCTGGCCGCGGTCCACGAGGACGGCCACGAGGGCATCCACCGCACACTGCACCGCCTCCGGCGTGATTTCCATTTTCCCAACATGAAACGTTTGGTGCAGGAGTTTGTGAAGGCGTGTGCCACCTGCCAGAAGTACAAGTCGGACCATCTGCGCCCGGCCGGTCTGCTACAGCCGCTGCCCATCCCTGCCAGTGTGTGGGCGGACGTCGGCATTGATTTCATTGAGGCACTTCCCCGGGTACAGGGCAAGACGGTCATCCTCTCCGTTGTCGACCGCTTCAGCAAGTACTGCCACTTCCTTCCGCTGGCCCATCCCTACACCGCCAAGTCCGTCGCCCAAGCCTTCTTCGGCGACATCGTCCGCCTTCATGGTGTGCCACAGTCCATCGTCTCGGACCGCGATCCGGTGTTCACGTCCGCGTTCTGGACTGAGCTCATGCGGCTCACCGGGACCAAACTCTTCATGTCGTCCGCGTTCCACCCGCAGACAGATGGTCAGACGGAGGCAGCCAACAGGGTGATCGTCATGTACCTCCGCTGCTTCGCCGGTGACCGTCCTCGCCAGTGGCTTCGTTGGCTACCATGGGCGGAGTACATCTACAACACGGCCTTCCAGTCGTCGCTCCGGGAAACGCCGTTCCGCGTGGTCTACGGCCGCGACCCGCCGACCATCCGTTCGTATGAGCCCGGCGAGACGCGCGTGGCTGCTGTGGCCCAGGAGATGGAGGAACGCGCGGCCTTCCTCGACGACGTCCGCTACCGTCTTGAGCAGGCCCAGGCGGTCCAGAAGCGTGTCTACGACCAGCATCACCGCCCGGTGGAGTATCAAGTCGGTGATTGGGCTCTCCTTCGGCTCCGGCAGCGTCAAGCGGCGTCCCTGCCACGTACCACCTCCGGCAAGCTCAAGCCCCGGTTCGTCGGGCCGTACCGCGTGGTGGAGATCATTAACGCCGCGGCCGCTCGGCTAGAGCTGCCTCCGGGGGCCCATCTCCATGATGTGTTCCACGTCGGGGTGCTCAAGAAATTCGTCGGCACGCCGCCCTCAATGCCCCCCGCCCTGCCGGCCACCCACAACGGCGCTGTGATGCTGGTGCCCGACAGGATCACTGATGTCCGGCTGGCGCGAGGAGTGCGTCAGGTGCTGGTCCAGTGGAAGGATGAACCGGCAGCGTCCGCAAGCTGGGAGGACTTCGACGACTTCCATGCTCGGTTCCCTGATTTTCAGCTCGAGGACGAGCTGGTCTTCGACGGCGGGAGAGATGTCATGTGCGGGCGCACATACGCCCGGCGCAGGAGGGCCCGCGACGTCCGCAGGGACGCCGAGCGCGCGGTCAGGACCCAGGAGGGGCAGGCGAGTGGCTAGGAGGAAAGATAGTTAGTTGTTTCCTTGTTAGGATAATCCTAGAATTAAGGAAAGCCTTCTCCATCTGTTAGGGAAGGGCTATATATTCTGTACGCTGGAACCAATTGAGATTAAGCAGAAAGTTATCCCTAAACTTCCTATCTCTCTACAAGCCGACGGCAGAGGGGCATAACCTCGCCGGCGAGACGGACGGCGGCTACGAGCTACGTAGCCGAGGTCCGGCCAGTCAGGGGTACGAGGCCCTTGACACCTTTCACATCTGATGGTTGAAATTTTCAGTTGCAATACTAGAATCTGCTGGCTTCATCAAAACTGATTCATAAATTTTGAGTTCACTTCAATACGTAGATGCTAGTTTTGTCACATGGTACTTATTGCTGTATTCCGTGTACATTTGGTAGTTTGGTTTTATCTTTCATTTGCATTTCTAGTAGGGCTCAATTGTTTTGGTTAAATGAACATGTCCTAGTGTTTCTTAAAAGGGTTGTGAGGGGATACGGTTGGCAAAGATGAGGCAGCAGGAATTTTACATTTTATACCAAAAATAGTAGTTTGGCCACACATGTTTGGTTATCTTAAATCTTCTTCTGATGCCTAGTATGTAGATATTCCTCCTTATCTATTGGGCACTCTTAGAGAAAATTTATATTGTAAAACTTCAGGTCAATCTACTTTGCTTAACTCTAGCATCTACCTAGTTTTGAACTAGTTTGAACAATTGAGGAACAATGTAAAGTGGTAATCTTCCATTCCAAATAAAAGGCTAGAAGTAGTCATTATTTTTGAAGCATGCAAGTATCCTAAAGTTTTGTATGTGTCCAAATTGACATGTTTTAGTCCCTGTACTGAAAAAGGAACATTTTGTAGCCTAATTTTCTAAAATTTTGAACCTAATGTATAACTGTAACTGTAATAACTATATTTGCAACATAAGAATGACCTTTTTAACAATTTAATGAAGCAGAATGGAGGATAATCTACCAGTTAATGTCCGGGAATACCAAGAACTCGCCAAGAAAGCACTACCAAAGATGCACTATGATTATATCAACGGGGGAGCAGAGGATGAGTATACACTGAGGGAGAATATTGCAGCATATGGAAGAATTCTGTATTGTTCGCCTCACCAATACTTTTAAACCTCATTAAGAAGTGGGCCCTTACTTTTTGGCATCGATTACACAGGTTACGGCCACGAGTCCTTATAGATGTAAGCAAGATAGACATGTCAACAAGCTTATTAGGATATAATATGCCATCACCAATAATTGTCGCTCCTACAGGGTCACACAAATTAGCAAATCCAGAAGGTACAATATCAAGTCATCCAAGTTTTAAATGATAAAACCTGCTATGTATCTCCACAACCCTTGGTTAAATGTTCATTTCAGGGGAGGTGGCCACAGCAAGAGCTGCCGCAGCATGTAACACCATAATGGTAACTGCTGAATTTGTTTTTGGGGGTCATCTGGTGATGTACTCGTCTTTAGGCCCTCTGTAGATTGTTACACGTGTTCATATATGTCACACAGGTGCTTTCCTTCTCATCAAGCTGCAGAATCGAGGAGGTTGCCTCCAGTTGCGATGCCATTCGCTTTTATCAGCTATATGTATGATGCATTGGCATTGATCTTTTTTTAGTAAATTCCCCTTTATGGTACTACCTGATTTATGAAATTTTTCGTTGTGTACCTTAGGTGTACAAGAGAAGGGATGTTTCGGCAACATTGGTACACCGGGCTGAGAGTTTAGGATTCAGGGCAATTGTTTTGACAGTTGACACGCCTGTGCTTGGCAGGCGTGAAGCTGATATCAGAAACAAGTATAGTGCTTGTATCTTTGTTAAAATCTCCCAAAGTTCAGCGAAATTATGTTCTTTTACAATTCATAATTCCAGTTTCCTAACCCATTGCCACTGAAGGTTAAAATTTTAAGCTACTATCTTCTCATACCATACCGTAGATCGTCGATACATTTATGCAGAGCATTGCAATAGATTCAACATCACAATGTTGCAAAAATTTTCCCTTTTCTTTCTTCTTGAGATGTTCTGTTACTGACCTGATTGTTCATGCAGGATGATTGCTCCACAGTTGTCAAACCTGGAAGGTTTAATGTCATTAGACGACTTTGATGCTGGTGTGAGTGAAACATTTGCTCAATAAACCACTTATTTAGAACTACAAAAATTTAGTGGATGAACTCCTTTCCTTTCTGAAAAACTGAAGCATTATCGTCTTGTTAGGAAGGCGGCTCCAAGCTGGAACGATTCGCACGGGAAACGCTGGATCCATCATTGTCATGGAAGGTACGTCCAGATAACACAGAGCAGCCGGTAGCCGTACCATAAATTTTCTCGAATCTTGAATTCCATAGCATGTGGTCCGGCATCGACAGTTATGAGATGCATGGACGCATCAACATCGAGCATAAGGGCTGTACGATGGATACTGAAAGACTGTTCTTTGAACAGCCGTATGGCACTTAATATAATAACATGCTGGTATAGCGACGGTGGCCTACGTACTGGCCTTGGATCACTGTACCAGCGACCATGCCGTGATGTGCCGTCTTGATGTTGCCGGCAAATTTTTTTTATAATGGAAAGAAAAATCCGGCTTCATCCTCTTGGAAGAGGAATCAGGCGAGTGGTTGATGATGGCCTGTTGGGGTGTGTTTTTTGCTGAATTTGTGCGTGCAGGACGTGGAGTGGCTCAAGTCCATCACCAGCCTGCCGATCCTGCTCAAGGGCATCGTCACCGCCGAAGACGGTAATGAATAATAACTAGCTTAATACTCTGTCAGTGTCGAATCGCTGGCAATGCATGGTGCTGAACCGGAGAACTAGTTAGTCGTATGGTCACTGTCTGTGTCACTGAACTGAACTCTGATGACTCTGCGGCGGCGTTGGGCAGCGAGGAAGGCCGTAGAGGCAGGGGCGGCCGGCGTGATCGTGTCCAACCACGGCGCCCGGCAGCTGGACTATGCGCCGGCCACCATCTCGGTGCTCGAAGAGGTAATTGGCCGCCGGCCGGCCGGGCACATTTATCCTCCTGGGTCCTGGCCCGCGCCACACATGCAAGCGCAACGGATGGGCTGGACCCGAACCCGATCGCTGCATCATTGCATGTGTGGGACGGTGGGTGTGCTGTTATTGCGACGTGCGGCAGTAGCGGCCATAAACTGACAAAGGACCGCCGGGGTCGGGGTGTCGTGTTGTGCGCTGCATTGCAGGTGGTTAAGGCGGTGGCGGGGGCCGTGCCGGTGCTGGTGGACGGCGGCGTCCGGCGGGGCACCGACGTGTTGAAGGCGCTGGCGCTGGGCGCCAAGGCAGTCATGGTACGTACGTACGCAGCTCCTCTCCTCTCGCCGAGCGAGGACTTGCTGGGCATGCACGGGCAGTTTCGGAAGAGGAACCGAAACGTGGACGGTTGGTTCGTTCGTTCGTTCTGACGAGGATGAGCGCGTGCGTTTGCAGGTGGGGAGGCCAGTGTTCTACGGGCTGGCGGCGCGCGGGGAAGCCGGCGCGAGGCACGTGATCGAGATGCTGAACAAAGAGCTGGAGCTGGCCATGGCGCTCTGCGGCTGCCGGAGCATCGCGGAGGTCACCAGGGCGCACGTCCAGACCGAGGGCGACCGGATCAGGGCCCTGCTGTGACTGCGAGTCTCTGAGTGAGGCTGCGACCCAGCGACTATCCGGATGGACGAACTGAATTCATATATACTAGTCCATCATGCGCACCGTCGCTCCCGTCGGCTGGAAATGCAATCGAAGGAACCCACTCTCCTCTATTTGTTCTGAAAATCCATTAGTGACAAACAAAAATGTCAATACAAAATTATTGGCAGCAACTATTACAAATTTGAACATGTTTGAGATTTCAATATTCTATCATGAGGATGGAGGCACTCCTCTGCAGCTCAAAACAGCTTTAGAGAAAAGCAAATTTGTTTGGAACCTAAATTCTGTTGTTTTTTGTTTACTGTAAGTGATATAGCCAATCTTGAATTGGACTTTCAACTTTTGAGATCGATGGGATGCTAGAATCTAGATTTTTTCGTCTTTCACAAATAAGGTAGGCTACAGCTATACTAATCAGATGGCTTTGTCGACACATGACCTGAAAGTATGGTAAGGCAACCAGTAAACAAAGAATTAGCTTACATATATGAAGTCTGAATTGTTAATCAAAGAGTTTTAGGCATTTATGAACCTGGTCGTAAATTGGACAAAATGCATGTACAACCAAGGAGACGAATGTTATCAACCGATCAAAGGAAAAAGATACAAGGGTACCTTGGCAGTTGATTGTTGGAGCAATGTGGACTAATAAAATTGCATTTGTACACACCGCAAAAAAAACACATACGTGATGTTGTACATATTGAACTGATAACTGAACAATCTCCCAGTACATACGCAGCACAAAAAATGGCTTTAGGGAGATTACTGCTATGAATGGCTCAGTGCAAGAAGAAACAACAGCCAAAGTAAAACCAAGCCGTTAACAAAACATAATATTGATGTATAGAATAAATTTGGTTCATAGACCATTCCTAACTCATTCTCTTGTTGTAGGCAAAAAGGATCATCAGCATAAAAATAACTGCATATATGAACTATAGATGGCATATGGGAAGCTAAAGCGAAATCGTCGAAATAATTAGCCTCTCTGAAACATTATATAGCAAAGGCACTTTAACTATGAATATTTTTGGGAAAAATGCGTGATAAAATTTGCCATGACAATAGGAAAGTCAACCACTCTCAAATCTTTTTTTTAACCTTCGAAATACATGAAAGGAAGATGGAGAGCGGAAAGTACCTAGGGTGAATCACAGAGGAGATCTGGGTTCAGAAGGGGTGCATTCATGGGTCAGTTTGAATCATAGCTGTAGCTCTCCTTGTGAACCTGTTGCCTTGCACGACGGATTTGATAAACATCAGCTGTAAAGTTTAGATATGGTAAAATGACAAACAGCTAAGGTAAGTGTTCACAAACCAGAACTCTCTTAAGATTGTAGGTACCTGGTAACTTTTTATTTTACCTAATAATTAGTCAGTATATCTAATTGCATAAAGAGATTAAAATATATATGAAGCAATGAAGCAAGATCGGTGAAAGTTCCGTGATTGAACACGTAAATTATACAAAAGATCCTGTACAGAAATATGTGGCAGCCGTCTCCATCTGCTGGCATAAACCACTATTAATCAAATATACTTTCAACACTATGAACAATTTTTTTATAAACAGGCAAAAGGAAGAGCAAAGAGAACTCACCTATATTTTAGCAATAATGGTCTACCCAGATGGATTAATGGTTTGAGACCAAACATAGCATGGAAAGCAGCAGGGCAGGGAAAAATATAAGCAGAGTACAATGTGTTTGAACATTTCTTACTCCAAAACTTCCTTTTCCAATGAACGATTCCAATGCTTCAGCTCTAGCTATCATCTCGCGTGACACCATGCTGTAGACCTGAAGGAAGACAGTGGAGTGATGAACTAAAGTGCAGCTTTCTTGCCTAGATATTGCATCTTGGTAACTAAAAGCGAATCAATAAACAGAGCAATGAACAGGAAAATAGCCACAATGTTAATTGATGCTTGACTTCTAATGCATAATTTACGTTTTGTCATCCTAAAATAAGCAATTGGATATAAAACAACACAAACCCTACTGTATGCTAAAAAAATAAGGCTTGCATGTAGCAGATGATATAGCCAAAGAAAAGTGAGAAGCAAACCCATGACAAACACCCCAAATTTCATTCCCTAAGTATCGGATCATTTTGGATGTAAATACAAATGAACCCACCCATCTTTTTTTTTTTGTTATGAACCGTGATCATTTTAGTTTGAAAATAGCCAAACACAAATTAATACATTAAGATTTTTAAGAAAAGACATTACAGAACTTCATCGAGTAATTTATGGCTACAAAAATTATGTAAGCAATTTCGGACTACATCTTACATGACATCTAGATGGAAGAGCACAAATTTGCAAACCATTGAAAATCCAAAAATTCAGTGGCTATCTAGAAGCTGTGAGGCAACACAAACGGACAAACTGTCACACAACCGACAAGAAGTGGCATGCGGAAGAGCATGACATCCACGTTCATTGGCATTCATGTACAACAGGAATCCATGTGCCGCTAAACGAAGCTAAGAAAGAAAGCAAACTAAACACTTGGCTCTAATCCCTCATCCATCTGCGGTAATAAATCCGAATAAATCAATCTTTAAATCTAGGAAACTAAACAACATTCTTTGAAGCACAAATAGAGTAGAGAGCGCCCATAGCCATCCATACCGGTGGCCGGGCTTGTGGAAAGCGAGAGAGAGGCGAGGAGGGGTGACCCGCCTCCGTTGCCATGGAACCACGGTGGAGGGTGAGGCACCGCCGATCTGCCGCCAAGTTGAGCCATCGGCGCCACTGCCGGAGAGGAAGACGCGATGCGTAGTCGGGGTCGTCGAGCACAGGCACCTAGGGTTTCATGGAGCAGAGGAGTAGACGCAGAGCTGTGGAAGGAGGCCGCGTCGGGGGGCACCCGAGACAGCGACCAACGGCGGGGCACGCACGCTCCGCGTTGTGGCCAGGGACGGCCGCCGCTGGGGCCGACACGCGGAGCTCCAGCGCAACCTGGGGCTGGCGTGGCGCCGCCCGCGCCTCAAGCGGTGAAGCGACGGCGCCGAGGCCCATGGCCACACGGCGCCACATCAAGAGAGAGAGGGAGAGAGAGAGGGAGAGGGAGAGAGGAAGGAAGGGAAGCCGGGGGTGGAGGCAGTGGAGGCGGCGTTCCGTGACCGGGAGGAGAGGCGTCGAGCTCGGGAGAGGAAGAGGAGGCGAGATATTTTCGGAAGAATCCAGAAGGAGAAGCATAAGCTGTTGTTTATATTTGGTCGAGTGGATTCGGACGAGACGCAGTAGAAGCTGGCAAAATCAACGCAAAGCGACGAGGAATTGCATGAAGCTGATTCGAACAAAAGCTGCTACAAGCAATCTGGGCCACACGATGGAGGATCGGATGGCTGAAAACAATTAGGGTAACGTGGATGGCCTGAGCATCGGCTAAAGTAACCTGCTTTGATATATTAGATACTACTATACTATACTATACTATACTATACTATACTATACTATACTATACTATACTATACTATACTATACTATACTATACTATACTATACTATACTATATGGTACTATACTGTACTACACAGGAGTCCGACCATCGTGCTGTCAGGTTGCTATATGATTACATGAACGTGAGGGCATGTGATGTGCAATTGATTGTTGCCTCCACAAATATGCTTTGTGTGTCGCCAAGATCCAACTTATTATACTATTACCAGAGCCAGAGCTAGATTAAGGGGGTGTTTGAATCCTTGATTAAAGTTTAGTACTCGTCCATCCAAACATCGATAATGCTTTCCGGAGGGCGTCCGTCCGGACGTACGACTGACCCCGCACGTGCAGCCCGCCCCCGTCTGCCTGTATTCGCCCCACCAGAATAAAGAGAAAGAAAAAAAAGGAAAACGGAAGGAGACTCGAGAGACAAACATGAGACAAATTTACCTCTCCTGCCACTCCACCTTTCTCCAATCTGCTTCCCTGGCGGTCGGCACCGCCCCCATCCCGTGCCCACCGATTCTTCCCCCTAACCCCTCTCTCTCTCTCTCTCTCTCTCTCTCTCTCTCTCTCTCTCTCTCTCTCTCGCGTGGGTGACACCCAAGAGCCGGGATGAGCGGCTGAGGATGATGATGGCGCACGAGAGTCACGTCGTAGGAGGCCGCGTCAGCGACGTCTGCCTCAAGTATTGCAAGCAGCGAGGCGGGACTGATCCTTGGCTCATCGAGATCGACCATCCAGTGGCGGATCCAGAAACGGACCAAGAGGGGGGCTAAATAATAGAAGACTAGCAAAGTAGTCATAAACTAATAGATTTTACAAAGAACATAATGATGATATGGATTCAAAGTGCTCAAAATATCAATAAGAATAGAAAGGGGGTGGGCTGTTAGCTTGGTTGGGCTGTGGAGAGGGGCTGTTGGGCCACGTTTGAAGACCTACTCCTTCGTTTTTCGGCACAGGAGGGGGGGCTGCAGCCCCCCGCCCCCTGGATCTGCCCCTAGGGAGCTCCACCGTACCATTCAGACTCGCCGCGGCCGCCTCCACCGCACCAGTTCGCCGTGCTGCCCGCCTGCCGCGGCCGCCTCCATCGTGCCAGTTTGTCGCGCTGCCCGTCTGGATTTGCCCAAGTAGCAAGGAGATATTGAGCTGAAAGCGTATGTTACATATGTTGCAATGGTTATACACGTACGTCACAAAAGTGTCTGTTCAACATGTTTCATCTGTTTTAGACGTACGTTGCAAGTGTTTTATCTGGATGTTGCATATATTGCAGTGGCTATACACATATGTTGCAAATATACGTTCTAAATGTTTCAGCCATTTCAGACGTATGTTGCAAGTGTTTCATGTTGCAAGCATATACTCTTGGATGGGATGGCCGAAGTCACGCGGCATGCATTTGCAGCGGGGTGCGTGGATTTTTGCGTGCGCGTGTGAAACAGAGCAGGCGCGGGCAGTCCCTACGTGTGCGTGAGAAATGGGGCAGGCGCGGGCGGTCCCCATGTGTGCGCGCAAAAAATGGAGCAGACACGGGACCGAGCATGCGCGCGGGAAACGGAGCAACGCGGACGTCCAGACGCAGGCATTAAACATATCTTGGGGTCCTGTCTCACAAGAACGTGATAGGGCAAGTAGTAATAGAGCTTTGTTAGACCATTGATCTAGATGGTTATTAGCGCATGATTCCTAGGAGGTAATATAAGAAATATATATTTATATCTATTTTTAGTTTGAGAAATATGGAAAATAAGAAAAAAATATCTATAAAGGAAATCTAAAGAGAAATCTGGCATGCATGCACATGCATGCTGCATGGATTTGCGCTGATATTTCCCGATGTCTAGTGTGTAAGTTGTTTAGGTGATGGATTATTTCACTGTGTCATAGTTTGTATCCCAAATTGTGTTATGTGAACTTAAATTTTTCGAATCTGACCTATTTAAGATTGTAGGTCTCACATGAGTTGTAATATTTTCATTTTGGGGGCACGACATACATATTTGTGTATGCATCCATAATTAAGTTGAGTCTTTAATCTAATATATAATCAATGAGTAAAATGCATGGATAGTCCATTACCTTGTGAGGCTGTGTCGATTTGTTCCATCAGATTTGAAAGTGCATTTTTGGGTCTAAAATCTTGATTAGTGGTGCATAAAGAATCCATACCCCTTCGTTTTATGTTTATATTTATAAAACCACCCCCCCTTTATTTTTCTTTCACAAGCTTGTTGGCCCAGCATGCGCGGTCACCGCGCCTTGGCGTCAATGGTCATTCTGCTCGCCCCTGCCGCCGCGCTACCGATGTCGTGCTGCCCTGACCTGCTCTCCTCCCTGCCTAGCCGCCTCGCTGCTGCTCGCTTCCCCATCGCGCCACGGCCGGCTGGCATGTTGCTGTGGACCGCTGCTGCGTGCTTGGCCGAGCGCACAATGCGGCCACCTCCTCGCTGTGCCAGTCACGCCCCGAGCGCCATCATTTGTGCAGTAGCCCATCAGCCCAAAGCAAAGCCCAACTAGAAGCCCACTCCCCCCCCTTTGGCCCAATTCTAGATTCGCCCCTACTCGCGCACGTGATCGCCCCGCTTGCGTCGTCATCTTTTCTTCCCCTGCTAAGCGCCGTACTCCGGATGAAGGCAAACCAGGAGGACGCATGTGCACCCTCTGCTTCGTCGCGCCGTGTGCACGGGGCAGTGCCCCTTCGTCTAAGGGCACGTACAACGGGCGCCTTTTTCTCGTCTCGGTGATGGCCCTTTTTCAGAAAACCCCCCAGCTCAGCCGAGAGACGAGCGCATCGTCGCCTCGTGAGGCGATGGCCCTGTCCCATGCTCAGATGCGGAACAGACGACCGCGGCTCCGTTGTACGGCCTCGTCTCCTACAGGCGACGGCGCTTAGATCCCGCATGGGTAGGAGTCGATGGCGCGCGCAGTCAGAAGATTTGGGCTCGCGCGGGAGTTTTCCGCGCCCAATCCATCTCCACCCGCCATATCTCTGCCTCATCCCGGTTCCCCCAATCCACCTCATCCATCTCCACCTCGCACTCTCGAGATGTCCATGTCGGCCGCAGCTAGGAAGAAGAAGGCATCCACACCGTCGGCGTTGGATGCGGCGGCGGCGGCCCCAGCCCGCACCCTCGGTCGCGGTGGCTTCTCGGCGCCGGCGGCTCTCTCTCGATCGTGGTGGCGGCTCGGCGATTGGCGGCCGCTCTCTCGGACGTGGCGGTAGCTCAAGAAGCGGCGAGGACCCGCCCAACCACCGATGGTGTCGGCAAGAAGCGCGGTGGCGGCGCCATCCTCCATTGATGGATCCGGCGTTGGTGGCTTTCCCAAAGATAGATGGATTTTGTTCCCTCATTCACCGTCTCAAGCCTGGTTTGATGCGGCTGGCAATGATCCCTCTTCTCCTGTATCATGGTAATCCCTCTTCTCCTGGTTTGTGATTTTTTTCAATTTACAATCATTGTTTAAGATCCAGTAGAAGAATAACATATATTGAATAGATGATTGTGCTATATTCTGCAACATATTGGATAGATGTTTGTACTGTGCTATATTCTGCAACTCAAAGCCATAGTGGTTATTGTTTGTTTTCTGAGGGACAAAGATCCACGTCCATCCGGTGGTTTCATGAGCTACTTGAAATCAGCCCACACAACTTTCATTTGGTTGGTGCACCTATTCACATGACCCTTTGAATAGACCACTTTGTCCACCAACAATGATGCAAGTTCACAGCCTGAAGTAGAAATATTACTTGACAATGACAATGTTAGGACTGAGAAGAGGATCCTATGGACAGAGAAAGAGGATCTTAGATTGATGAGCGTTTGGATAGAACATTCAACAGACTCTACCTATGGAGCCGATAAGGGTGGTAACCGGTATTGGGGTGAGGTTGTTGAATCCTACAACAAGACTACCCCACCATTTCGAAAGAGAAATCTGAAGCAATGCAAGGATAGATGGCACAAGATTAATAGGTGGACAAACCTCTTTGAATGTGCTTATGTAAAGGTTCGCAGAGTATTTACAAGTGGATATTCTGATCAAATGTGGATTGATGCAGCCCACAAGTTCTATGTGGAGGACAACAAAGATGCAAAACTAGGACCCTTTGTTGGGATTGAGGTTTGGAAAATTTGTCGAGAAGTGTCAAAGTGGAAAACATACAATGAAGAGCTGAGGAATGCACGTAAAAGGAAATCATTTCACCTTGAAGAAGAAAGGGATCAGGAAAATGATGAAAGTTTGGAAGAGATGCCAAATCGACCAATGGGTCAAGAAAGCTGACTAAAAAGGCGACTCTAGTGCAAAAGGCAAGTCAAAAGGCTCCAAAGAAGTGAACATAATGGTAACTCAAAGGAATCTGCTATTGATCTAGACAAATTAGGCAAATTCGGGGAGGAAACAAATGCAAACCGTATGAAGATATTGGGCTGCAAGAAAAGCTATCATCCGAGAAGCTTGATACCACAAAACTTGCCCACCTTTATTGCACAAGAGACCAAAAAGGGAAAGATGCTTGAGAAAGAATCAAAGATGATGGAGGCTTATAACATGACCTCATCTTACAAGATACAAGTTCAATGTCCAATGTGGAAAAGGCGGAGCGAGTTCTTTGCCATGAAGTGTCTTAGGAAGGCCCTTTTTCCTGAAAGTAACTAAACAGTAACTTGAGCAACCTGTACACCTCTACACCGCCATGAAGAATTTGAGCAACCTGAACCTCTCATAAAGGTTCTATCTACTATTTACTATTTACGAAAGTGCTATCTACTCCTCGAGTGTACTATAGAAGATTATTTCGATTAAGTGCGTGAGTATTTCAATTAAGTCGTGAGTAAATCATTAGTTCACTGGCGATTTTGGGATCGGCCTTATTCAGGTTTGTTGCCTGTGAGATATATGGTTTGGAGGCTAGTTAAATTTGATACACTAGCGGTGAAGTCCGCCAATTAAGTTGTTGTCTTTGCTACGAAAGTACTAATAGCTTAGAGAGGTTTCCAATTAAGATGTCTCGCAATTTAAAAGAGGACCCAAAAATTACCAAGAAAAGAAGTTTGAACCGATGTGTGTTTGTCTGTGAAAAAAAAAGTTATTCAACTTCTATTCTTTGATTTCTGATAATTTTAGTTGCTATCTATGTTTGATGTAATCACAATGCACTTGGCTCTTCACAGTTCTAGGAAAATCATATCTCATTGCTTCCATTAGCATATGAATTTTTCTAAAATGTAATTGCTCATGTGTGTTTGCTTTGGTGAATTTTTTTTTGAAATGTAATTGCTCATATCTGTTACTTTTGTTATCTGAGCTAGTAAATCATTAGTTTGCAAATGATTTTGTCCTACCTGTAGTAAATTACTTTAGTTTCAATTACTTTAGTTTGCCCTATCTTTTATGAGATCCATGATTCTGTGCAGAGGATCATGTGATGGGTGATTCTGTGCAGAGGATCATGTGATGGGTGTCACTTGGATGGCTATTGCGGAGGAGTTTGTGGAGGTTTGGATCTTTGGTGTCCAACAGTTGTTTTGGTCACTTTAGTTTGTGTTGTTGTGTTGTTGTACTACCTAATCTGGGTTTTCTTCTTTTTTTAATATAATCGGCAGCTTTGCCTGATTCGTTTAAAAAAATCGTAATTATTATTATTTTGAACAGCCTACTAGTATTAGTAATAGAACTATCTCCTCTTTACTGGGCTTTTTTGTTCTTTGCTGGAAATATATAATGATCTGTTTTCACCTTTTGATCTAAATTTTAACAGGCTGGAGACTGGATTACTTTCTTGCGTCAGAATCTATTGCCGATAAGGTCCATGATTCTGTGCAGAGGATGAGTTGTGACCTACCTGATGGTGTGATCTATCTGTTATCTACTAGTTATTATCTCAATGTCATCTACTAGTGACTGCTATCTGAATGCTTCCCAGTTAAATTTCTGCTATCTTTCTGTGTGAACATGTGATTGCTATCTGAATGCTTCCCAGTTATATTTTTGTGTGACCATGTTACTGCTATCTGAATGTGCATGTGCTATCTAAATGTGCATGTGCTATCTGAATGTGAACATGTCATTTGAATGTGAATGTGCTATCTATGTGAATGTGAGGCAGAAGCTATCATACTATAAATTGGCACCAGTTACTCAGTTAGTTCGTTTTCCACCACCCTGCTCTAGTTAGTTCCTATGGAGCAAGATGAGGTGCAAGATGTCGAGGACTTTGATCCTGCAGAGGTGTTCACCGTAGAAGATATGCTAGCAGAGGATGGAATCTTAGAAGATATGATACAAGAGGAATTGAAGGCCTACATCGATGGAGAAGCATCAACAGTATCTCGCCGTCGCCGACAAACTGGACCGCGCAGGTACATACCAAGGAATCGAGAAGCAGCTCATGATGATCTTGTCGCTAATTACTTTTCTACAAATCCTATCTACACCGATGAGATGTTCCGTAGGAGATTTAGGATGAATAAGCCACTGTTCTTACGTATCGTGCATGCACTCAGCGATTGGTCTCCTTATTTCACCCAAAGACCCAATGCTACTGGTATGAATGGACTTTCACCGCTTCAAAAGTGTACCGCGGCTATCAGGATGCTAGCTTATGGAACCTCGGCTGATGAACTTGATGAGGTGTTAAAGATAGCTGCAAGCACTTGTTTGGAGATTTTGGGAAAATTTGCTGAAGGGGTGATTGAAAAATTCGGTGAAGAATATCTACGCCCTCCAAGAAGCGATGAACTGGAAAAAATATTACGAGAAAATGAGGCTCGTGGTTTTCCAGGAATATTGGGAAGCATCGATTGTATGCATTGGGCATGGAAGAATTGTCCGAAAGGTTGGGCAGGCATGTTCACACGTGGTGATAAAGGCGTACCTACTATGATCCTTGAAGCGGTGGCAACTCGGGATCTTCGTATATGGCATGCTTTTTTTGGTACCGCCGGGTCTCAGAACGACATAAACGTTCTAAACAAGTCACCACTATTCATTCAAGCAATAAAATGGGAAGCTCCTATGGTACACTATAATGTAAATGGAACACAATATGACATGAGTTATTATCTTGCCGATAAAATATATCCAGAATGGACAGTATTTGTGAAGACAGTGACGGCCCCTCAGTCGGCGGAAGACATTATTTGCATTGATGCAAGAAGGGGCGAGGAAAGATGTCAAGTGCGCATTTGGTGTGCTGCAATCACGCTTTGATATTGTTCGTCGACCGGCAAGGTTATGGAAGCAGGGGGACGTTATCAACATAATGCAAGCTTGTGTTATCCTTCACAATATGATAGTGGAAGATGAGAAGGATTCAATTAGAGAAGTCTTGGATTTGAATGAGAATCCAAGTGCGACGATAGTGCTCCAACCTGAAGTGCGTACAAGTGACAACCATAATCCTACCTTCGTAGAGGTACTTCGTAGAAATTCCACTATCAAAGCTCGGCCAACACATAGGAAACTCAAGAAGGATCTAATCGAGCACATATAGCAACGCTATGGAAACAAAGGAAATTAGATAAAAGACGTTGCATCTATATGAAATATAATTATTATATTGATGGTTTTTAAAAATATTATAATCATGTTGCTCTTATTTATCCTTGATACATTTTCTATCAAATAGCCACATAATGATATACAAAAATTTATTTATAGTTGATCCTAACTACATGCGAAACATTAAACAGTTTAGAGATGGACCTCCTATCTATGTATTATATGACCTGTCTTTATACATGTCTGCACGATAGATTCAAAGCTATCTGCGGGTGCTTGGCTCAGCTGCATGCGCGTGAGCGCGCTCCCTTAGTCCTGGCCGGCCAGCATCGAGCCGAAAAAACCGTCGCCACCCTTAGCACCTTTAAACAAAAAACCCGCGCTTCCTTCGTCCTTCTAATTTGCGCCACGCATGGCCTCCCAATCCAATTCCTTGCACCATTGAGCAGCTATGGAAGTTCTCTAGATATCAAACCCACTTCGAGAGACAGCCGTGCACTGTAGCCAGCCAATTTTTGGATTTCCCCGCCACCGGTCAGTTCGCCGCTGAGACCTAGCTGTTTTGGGGGTAACTGGTAAGCTTCGTCGGTTGAAATTGGTCCAATTACATGATATGGAGGACTGTCCTTGACCTTCTCGTGCCGATGTTCTCCTTTGTTTGCACAGAGACATCACCGCGGACGAGCTGACGCCGCCGTGTCCGCCGTGGAGCGTCGCCGCCCCGCCTGCACGCACGTTATCAGCCCTCCTCGAATCTCCTCTGCCCCAACCGGCACCTTGTATGTGTCCGTGGTGCTCCCCTGGTACTCCCCCGCCATCATTTTGCTGCCGCCGTAGCCTTTGTTCGTCGGAACAGCCGCGCCATCGCCGTGAGCTGCGCCACCGTGGCTATCCATGTCACGGTGCTCTGCGTGCAGCGTGGGATGCGGGTGGGCGACGAGCGCGGCAAGCAACGCGTGATGCCTGTGGCACTGGGTGCGCGCGAGCACAGTCGAGCTGCAGCACAAGTCGCGGCGGGGCGAGTGCGGCGGCATGGGTCAGCCGTGGCGAGCGCCAATGGATCGTGGGCGGACATGTTGCGTTGCGTGGGCACGCCGGACGCCAGTGGATCGTGGGCGGACACGCCGTACGCCGTGCTGGGCACGAGCACGAGTGCCGCTGACTGCCAGGCTGCGTGCGTGACCGACTGTCTCTGCGTCGCCGTGCTCCTCAATAGCAACGATGATACGAGCTTGTGAAAGAAAAATAAATACAGGGGTTTCTAACTTTTTATACATCACTGATCAAAATTTTGGACAAAAAATACATTTTTAAACCTAATAAACTAAATCGACACACCCTGATAAGTTAATGGACTTTATAATCAATTATAGCAATGTTTTTTGGCTCGTGATATCTAAAGCTTAACTGTTATCGTATGTATGTTTTATGTGTGAAGATAAGGACGTATCCCGATATCCGCGGTGTAACGTGACCAATTATTATAAAATTTCTTAACGTGTAACATCTAGTACGTGTCTAACGTGATCAATTTTTATTTTAAGAATGTGTATTAGCTCCACGTGTGGCATGTCCATACATGTGTTTTGGATGTTGGACTCTAAAATCAATTTCAATTATTTTTTATCTTTTATAAAAATATTCATGTATGTTTTCTTACTAGTCAATGGTAAGGATAAGGAATGATGCCTCGGAAGATAAAGAAGAAGGCACAATGAGTATAACTGTATAAGAAAGATATGGGTCTTGTTTAGTTGGCGAATTTTTTTGAAAATGGTACTGTAGCGCTTTCGTTGTTATTTGGTAATTAGTGTCAATCATAGTCTAATTAGGCTTAAAAGATTCGTCTCGTGAATTTCGTCTAAATCGTGTAATTAATTTTATTTTTTATTTATATTTAATGCTTCATGCATGTGTCCAAAGATTCGATGTAACGGGGAACCTTGAAAAATTTTGCAAAATTTTAGGAACTAAACAGGCACATGATTTTTTAAGGCGGCAAACGCTGGTACACAATTAATATGCTGTTGAAATTTTATATAATCTTTCTCAGTATATTAATGATCTCAAATGGAAAAACTTTAAACTATAAGGTTATAGATCTCATCAAGAGTTACAACTTTTATATAATATATATATTCGTTTGACATTATACA